CCCTTGGGCTCAATCCCTAGTACCAAAAATATTTTTTTAATTATAGAAGCAAATGGTGGGGATACATCACAGTGTGTACAACATAAAAAGAGGGAGATACCCACTAGGAAAGGCCATTCCTTCATTTACCACCACATTTCTCACGTGGTGGCCTCCCCAGTGTGCCATGGACACCTAATGAACACCTGCGAAAATGGATTCTTGCATCTCTTTGCGGAGCTGAGGGCTCATCAGGGACTAGCTGGCACAGTAACCTTCTGGTGGGATCACAGCAGGTAGCTTTCCTCGCCTTGGCCATGACGAAGAGCCCGCTGTCAGAGCAGGACAAGAGTACGCAAGGATGCAGCGTCAGGGATCCATAACTGAGAAGAGCCCTTCCACAGGGTCCAGGAAAATCAGGACACACTCAAATAACCACGTCATTAGGTGTTTGGTGATGAGAACGGGAAGTCACGGGCTGGGAGCCGCACTCTCTTATTTGTTGGTAAGAATTTCATGGGATACGGAGCAACCTCTATCCCCACTGTCATTGCTAAGACACGGACCCCTTGCTGCACATGCCCGGCTGCGTGCCAAGCCCCTTAATTGTAATGTCGTGTTTATGTCACTCACAGTCCCTATGGGGCCGACCTCCACGTCCTTTATGTAAACGCAGTCTGCTGGAGGCCTGGAAGCTGTTATGAGCTGGATTTCCGGCAATCTCGGCCCTTTTATCCTCGCCAACAGAAATTCAGTTTAGAAATCTTTCCTAGACCTCCTCTTTTAATTCCCAAAGTCAATTCCCAGATGACTACACCCAAGCTTCTCGTGCTCAGCTCGGTTCTCTGTGAAACCTCAGGGTCAATGGCTCCTGCACCTGGGCCCCTGCAGGCCAGCCCCTTAGAGCCATCTGCTGACCTTCCCCACTCAGCTTCCCAGGGGAACCTTCCAGGCCAACTGAGGAGTGCTGTGTGTGCTCTCCCTCGGTGAGTGAGAAAATCCAGTTCCACCTCTCCCTGAAGATGACCTCTGGGCTTAGTCCATCATCCCTAGTGACCCTCATGTGACTCACCCCATCTTTTCAAAGAAAGAAGGAAATAACTCAGCTCTGAATTGAAAGAGCTCACGAGCTTCAATACGCCATCCCAAGCCAACGGCCCACGATCATTGTATGAAAATAAGTTTTACGTCTGGTATTTGATTTGCCACATAGTTTAACAGAAAAGTAACTTTATCTATTTTTTTCCAATTAAAGGAAGTAATGTTACAATCAATAATTCCTCTACTCTGCTTTGGTAAATTAATGTCTGCCTATTGTTTTTAAATCACAAAGTGAACATTGCTATAGAAATGTAAAATGGTACTATTTCATTTTAATCTATTTAATTTTCCATTCTGGAATTACATAATGGGGTTAAAACATTGAATAGAATTAATAGAATGAGTATTTAATTAAGCAATAATGAGTTTCTAAATGGATGCTCAAAGAAACTAGCTTTATAGTTTATGCAAGAATCAGATAATGGTCTTAACAAAGACCATAATAATTGTGTTGAATGTTTTCTATATTTAAAGATTTTTGTTTTTTTCTGAATTCTCTCAGGAGTAGATTTAAACAAACCCAATTCCTTGATTAGGCTCCACTTTGCTTTCAAGGTAGATTCTGAGTGTCTTTCCCAGCCATCCAGTCCTGCACTAGAGATGCCATAGGCCACCTTTGCCTCCTGACATCAAGCATTCCCCATGGTCCCCCCGAATTCCACCCGGACCCTCCTTCCTTCTGCTCTGTGAACACACAGGCCCCTCCTGCCACCCGGCCTTTGCTCCTGCCACGTGGCCTCTGCTCCTGCCGGTCCAGATGCCTCGAAGGCTCTACCCTCCTCCCCTCACTAACTGCTCCTCTTCTTTCAGTTCTCAAAGAATTTTCCTGATGATTCTTCTCTAACCAGGTCGGGCACCTGCCCCCACCAACACACACTGTACAGACCCCTCGAGAACCCTGTGATTTCTTCCTGAGCAGTTAACACAGTCTGTAATTATCTATTAGTTCATATCTGCCTCTCCTTCCAGCCCATAATCTGCATGAGAAAATATACCACATCTGCTTTATTTACTAGTGTATCCCTAGATGGATGGATGGATGGATAGACAGATGGATGGACAGATAGAAAATGGATAAATGATGGATGAATGAATGGAGGATGGATAGATGGATGGACAGATGAATGGATGGACAGATGAATGGATGGATGGATGGATGGATGGATGGTGGATGACGGCATGGATGATATGTATGCCGACGGACCCATTACTACCTCTAAGGACACATGAGGGCCACGGTACACACTTCTGAGATTTCCTAGAACATTGCCACCTTGTGTTCTCTGCCAGCCCCTTTGGTCAGTGCTACAGACATGAAAACCTGTGTCCTGGGAGCAGCTGCCCAGGAGGGTCTCACAAACAGGGCTGAACTTTGGTTTAATCAAGTGGCTGGCCCACCCGTTCGCCAGATCTTCAGGCCCAGTCGTGCTGGGCGCCAGCCTGTGTGCTGTTAAGGCACCGTGTCCTACCACTAGGTCCCTGAACTAAGAAAAGAAGAACTCTAAGAGGCAAAGAATGTCTAACTCGTTTCCTCACACCACAAAAATGCGATGTTTAAAGCCCATGAAAATCTATCATAGTAAGAGGGGCCAGTGAGCGCGAACGGCCTGGGGTCAGAGTCAGTTCTGCAGGCACTGTCCTGGAGAGCAGGGTGACCAGCCCACCCGGCCCTCGAGCATCAGTGACTTGCCACAGCCTGGCTCCTGTCTGACTTTGTCCTTGGGTGTTTTCTCAGTCCTCTGTCCCCATGTGTAAGATGCCTGAGGCCCCGTGCAGCAGCCCCGTGTGAGAAGCTGCAGACCAGCCAGGAGGGGGCAGGCAGACCGCTCCGCCCTCCTCACCCTCCTCGGTCTAGGCCACAGGGCTCCTCTGCGTGGACAGCCATCTTCTCACGGTGCTAGGACGTAACTGCGTTTCCACGGGCTGGTGGTTCCCGGCACCCTCTAGTCCCGTACACCAGTCCCCCCCATGGTCTGCCCCGTTTCCTAAGGAACAGGTTCAGAAAAGCCACGAGGACAGGTTGTGAGCCGACGCCCATGGCCATCAGCAGGGACGAGCCCTGTTCCCTGGCGCTGGCTACAGTCAGGGCTGGGTGACTGGCCTGGACAATGAGGAGCCTCGGAGCAGAACTGGTTGAAAGCAGAGATTCTGGAATCCAGGAGACCAGGTCTGACCCTGGTTCACACAGGACTCCGGACTTCTTTGGGCAGCCTCTGTCTTCTTTGGGCAGTCGTCTTAATCGGCATCTGAAGGGAAGGTAGCAGGCGTTTCTCTAAGGCTCCTGGACCCAGCACCCTTCCTGCTGAGCCAGCAGTGCTGCAGGCCCCTCGGCCCCAGGCTCAGGCCTCCTGCCCACCCAGAAGGGAGGGCACTCTGCTTGACACCCGCTTGACCTCCTCAGACTTGGACTCCACACCCTGGACGACGTGTGAGAATTATGTGGGCAGGTTCAGAGAACAGGGGCTCCCAGGCCTTACCCCCGGCCAGCTGGGCTGGAACAGGACCCAGGCATGTCTTTAAAGCTCCATAGAAAATGTCCATGTGCAGTCAGGGCTGAGAGCCCCTGGTCTGGTTTTCCAGCTCCAGAACTCTGTGGTGTTTTGAGAGCAAGAAAGCACAGGAGCCAAGGCCACCGTCCTCAAACAGGGATCAGAGGGACCCGACCGAGGAAGCTCCTGCTGGAGCCATTCCCTGTGACCGCGTCCTCAGTGCCCTGCTGGCCTGCTGTTTTGCATCCTGTGACATGTTCTGGAGCGTCCCAGCTCCCCTGTCATGGCAGACTGGCAACTCCCCCAGGTTTGCCGAGGAGTGATAGATAAATTAGTTCCCATCCCGCCCATCCCCCAAGGCGTCAAAACGAGGCTCCTGACTAACGATTTGTTAGTCAATTAATCAGTGGCTGTGTTTGAAACCTCATTTCTCAAATGAGTTCTCTTTGAATACCAGGCCTTTCTGACATCATCTTACTATCTCCAGATTCACTTTGCTCCTAATTAAAATTCCAAGATATTTCTTCTTGATGTCAGCTTATTGGTATTACTTGTTTATAAAATATCTGCAAACAGATTACTGTTCACCTGTAGTGTGTCAGAGGTAAGCAGCAAAACAATACTTTATGCTTCTGACTCAAAGGAAATGTGTTGATGATAGCTCATGGAACCCTCCATGGAGGAGAAAGCTAATTTTTCATCGATTGATTTATTTCCACCACGCCTACTGGCAACAAGCTTTTGAGATGTACTACAACAAAAACACAGGAGGGGCAGCCTCCAGACTGTGGGTCTCTGTTTCCATAGCAAAGGCTCTCCAGCCACGTGGGTGGTGGGCAAAGGGCGGGGGAGCAAGCTGCTTCTCTTCCTCAGAGGGGAGGGCAGCTGCAGTAGAGACTCTGGAGGCAGACCCTGGCCTGAGCCCCAGGCCCCCTGCAGGGAGTCCTGGCCTGGGTTGACCTGGTTGTGGAGTGTGGGCGGGGCTGCAGGAATCGGAGCACCTGATGGCTCACGCTCTTGTTCAACAGCAGAGCGGGGGCCTGGCCATTCCCTCCATGTGGAGACTCAGGGACCAAGGTCCCACCTCGGCTCCCTCTCCCTGGGGGCCTCGGGCTTGTGAGCACTCAGGCAGGCAGAGAAGAAAGAGCACAGGCAGGGCCTCCACGTCTCCTGTCCTCCTGCCCAGCCCAGCGTATTTCCACCCACGTTCTCTGGGAGAGAAGTTAGTCTCGGGACCTCACCTAAGTTCAAGGGGAGCCGAGAGGTGCAGCAGAGCATCTTCCGAGCCACAAGCCTCCCGTGTTATATCATTTGTTATTAAATGAGGTGATGTGGGGCGTCCCCAGTACCGTGCATGCGGGAGGGCTCCACACAGGGCCTTTGCTGTGGACTTTTCAAAATAGTGACAGTCACCATCTACTTGGTTTGCAGTTTCAAGCCACAGTGGAGGAAGGAGCTGTGGGGGTCATCGTCAATCTGACGGTGGAAGACAAGGACGACCCCGCCACCGGCGCGTGGAGGGCTGCCTACACCATCATCAACGGAAACCCAGGGCAGAGCTTCGAGATCCACACCAACCCCCAGACCAACGAGGGGATGCTCTCTGTCGTAAAAGTAAGGCTCCGGGATGTGGCTGCAGGGAGCAGGGAGGGCGGGTGGGACCCCGGAGTCGAGAAGACCATAGACAAGGCCCACTCTCTTCCTCGAGTTCACAGAGCAAAGGGCTGGTGGCCCTCGGGAGCAGCTGTGCCCTTGGCAACATAAGCCAGCACCCTGGATCTCTTCTCCTGTTTACAGGTTCTGGAAAACCCAAAGTCAGCTGTGACTTTAAGGAAACCAAACTTACACTGAAATGCAATTCTCAGTAGGTCTGCCCCTGAGTTAGCAAAGGATGGGCCAAAATGGAACCTGCAAAGGTTCTGTAAAGAGCTGTGCTCCGAGTGTGAACTATCGTGTTTCATCTTCATGTTTCTTAGCAGAGTCTCCATTATTGTCCTAGAAACAAATGCCTAACAGTTCTGGGAGGGAGGGCTTTGGGGAAGCTGCTGGCAACCAGCAGAGCCACCCTCTCTGTGGCTGCCAGTGGAGAGGAAGGAGGAAGAAACAGGATCCCAAGAACCAAGCCCTGTGTGTGGTCATGCAGAAGTGTCCCCGCGAGGGACGCTGCACAGAAGGGGCCAGGCGGGTCCCCTCCAGTTTTCAAGCTGCTCCACTCTCTCTGGGAAGTCCCAGGGCCAGTTCCTGCCAGAGCCCAAGCCTTCACCGGAACAGAGTCTCTTTCCTAGTAGAGGCCACCATTGGCCTCCAAAGCAGACAGGAAGTGTATCTGTAGTATTTGCAGAAGCAGCGGGCAGAGCAGAGACCTCGCCCCCAACTCCCCATGTGCCGGCACATCCGCCTCAGTTTCCTCATCTGCAAAGGAGGGTGGAGCTACATCAGACCTCTTGGGCGGTGGTCTCAGTCCATTGGTAGTGCTTGATGGAGGACCGTAGGCCTGGCCGCCTGTACAGAACAGACATTTACTGCTCACGGTTCTGGAGGCCAGAAGCCCAAGGTCAAGGTGCCGCAGACTGTGTCTAGCCAGGGTCTGCTTTCTCATCGATGGAGCTTCCTGCTCTGCCCTCACATGGTGCAAGAGGCAAGGCCGTCCTCTGGAGCCTTGTGCATCAGGGCACTAATGCCATCATGACCTAATTACCTACCAGTGTCCCCACCTCCCAATGCCCTTAAACTGGGAAATATGATTTCAACGTATGAATTTGGGGTGGCCACACACATTCAGTCTATCGCAGTTGTGAGGACTTCAAACATTAGTATGTACAATGTTCAGAACGGTGACTACTACTCAGTCTGTGTCAGTTTCCTGCTGCTGCTACAACAGATGGCCACAAATGTAGTGGCAAAATTTTTTTTTAAAGCATGCATTTATTATCTTGCAGTTGTGGAGGTCAGAAGTCCAACAAGGGTCTCACTGGGCTTAAATCCAGATGTGAGCAGGGCCACTATCTTGGGAGGCTCTGGGGAGACAGCTCCTTGCCCTTGCCACTTCTAGACCCTGTCCCGGCCAGGCTGCAACCCTAAAGCCCGCAGTGCAGGACCTTCAGATCCCTCTCTGGGGCCTCCACTTCCTCTCTAGCCCTTCCTTTTCCACCACTGAATCTCCTGCTTCCTCCTCCTTGGCCCTCCTTCCTGGCTCTTCCTCCGACTCTGTGATCCTTTGGGTCCTCTGGACGATCCGCGACAGCCTCTGATCCCAAGGTCTCCGATCTCATCTGTCCTTTTGCCATGTAAGACCCATGTGAAGGGCTCTGGGGTTGGAGTGTGAAACCCTGGGGGTCATTCTGCCCTCTGCAGAACCGTATCAACAGCGGCACCAGCTGAGCTCCACACGGTGGCTCAGGGTCCTGCCCCTGAGAATGACAGATCTCAGACCCCGTGGCCTGTTCAGGTGCCGCCCCCCACGCCCTGCCCTTTTCAACCTCTGGCCTTCCCAGTTCTCCAGTAACAGACAGCAAAGTGGTCAGGAGACCTGGCGAGGGCTTCCTGCCTCTGTGGGGCACACTCAGAGCTGAGACAGTCATAAGTAGCTCAGCCCGGCCGTCCTCCACGCTTGCCCTCAGGTGACTTCCCAACCCTGCAGAGGACGAGACTCAGGTAGACACCCCCTCCATGGTGATCTGTTCCCCCCACGAGTGCTCGCTAGGGCTCCAGGAAACGTTAGCGCAGCAGGAGGAGCGCTCTCTCCCGGCCCTGCCTCGTCCACAGCGAGGCTCTCAAATGGGGCCCAAGCAAGAATCCCCTGAAACGCTAGTTCAAGGCAGGCTCCCAGCCAGGTCAGCACGGGGAGAACAGGTGCACCGTGACTCTGTGATTCATGGGGCACACCCCTAGGTCCCTGGGGGGCTCCATCAGCACACCCACCCTCTCTGCAGACTGTGGCAGGAGGGACTTGCAGAGGCCAGGCCTCGCCCTTTACCCTAGCCTTCCTTTGCTTCAGAAGGAGGCTGCAGACATGAATCAATAGGAAAGGAGGAGCACCCCCTGCTTCTCAGCACATCTGAGGCAAAACCAGGACAACTTTCTAAAGAGGCAGAGCTGGCCATGCTCTCTGATGCCCTCCATCCTGCCCAAGACTCCATGCATCTGTTAGGAATGCTTTCTGCTGCAAGTCCCAAGATGCCAGACCAATAGTGTCTTCAGTTATAAACAAAATCTAAGAATTTTCCTAATTGGATAAAAGTAGACCAGTCCAGGATTGACTGACAGCTCAAGGTGTCAGAGAACCAGAAGAGGGTTACCTTACTTGCTTTGGGCATTTTCCTCATGAACATAAAATGGCTGCCAAAGACCCAGGCATCAGGTCTTCCCTTGGCTATGTCCCCAGATAGGAAACAATGAAACAACCAGACAAATGAGAAAGCATGTTCTCCTATGTCCCTCTCCTCTTGCCAGAGAAGAAAATTCTTCTCCAAGGGTCCCTCAGCGAATTTCCTCTTAAGTTTCATTGACAAGAAATATACATATATATCTACCCTTAGTGAAGGCTGAGCAGGTCCAAACCTGGCCTTTTGGCCTCTGCAGTAATAGGTGGGCCAGGGAGAAGGGGTTGGTAATGGCTGGAGGGCAGTCACCATGACCAGGTCTGCCCTGGCCAATTTGAGGTCCAGCATACAGATGAGCTAACAGGAAGCTGGTGTCTGGGGCATCCAGCTTCCCGCCCAGGCTGAATCCTGGCAGATGAGAACCTGTTTCCCTTTAACCTCTGATCCAGAGCACCCTGACTTGGTTTGTAGACCTATTCCACAACTGCCAAAAAGCTGTTCTTCCATTGGAGTGGAATCCACCCCGCATTTGAGGTCTATTTGCTTCTCTATCCTCAGAGAGGGAAGCATCCGGAAAGTGCCCTGGTTCCCCACCCTGTGATGGGCTGGGAAACCACTGTTGCTTCACCTCTGAACCTTCCCCTGCTGGGCAGCCCCTGGGTCCTCCATCCCTCTGAGTGTGGGACGCCAGCACTGCACGCAATAGCTATAATTGTTTATTATGAAAAATAATATAATGTTTCTAAAATAACTGGCTCAGTCTGCAGGACGCTATTTAGGACTCTTGTGCCACCCTCTCTCTGCCCACTGGCCCCTGTGGCTGCCCTTCTGCTGTCCTCCTTAATGGGCTGCCAGTCAACCCCCCTGGCTCTCGTGCATCGTGTCATCCTAGAGAGCAACCCACTGCCTCCTGCAGCCTGGCCCCAATGAGCTCCCTACTTGCTTTTCCGGTGGACCTGAGAAAATAACTGTCCAAGTGACAAGTTTATCCTGGTCTCACCTAAATGTGTCCCCATGCACACCTGGTCACAGGAGCCCCATTCTGGAAAATGTCACTCTCACTGCATCATGGGACTCCTGTGACATTTGGTCCCCAGGGCTGTCGCAGTGCTATTGCTTGTGATGGGTTTCTTTGTGCATCTGACGCAGCCCACTCAGTCGCCAGGGAGGCGTGTGCCACCAAGGACTTGTGCAAAATCACGGGGAGCGGCCCTCCTCAGGGGCAGCTGTCGGCAGTGGGCAGGACAGTCATCACTGTGTAGGGCTCTGCTGGCCTCGCTGTGTGACTGGCCTCTCTGTCCCCTTTCCCAGTAAGTGGTCATAGAGCCCCCGCATCTTGGTGACAGCTGAAAATGCCCCCACACGTTTTCCACACCCTCCGAGGGCAAAGGGCCCAGCGTCCTGGCCCACATGCCAGATTCTCCAGTTCTTCTCCCTCCGGGGCTCCGGAGGAGAGACTGTCACCTGGAGGTGATGTAGAGGCCAGCCTTAGCCTCCACGGCAAGGGAGAGGAGCATTAAGGCAGCCCTGGTTGGCCTGATGGTTTGGTCCGGTGTGTGATGGAGACGGGGTCCTTGCTCTGAAGCTGCTGGAGCTGCCCTTCGGGTCTCTCATTACCGAGCCCCGCAAGCGTCGGGAGTTAGAGGTTACAGGCAGGAAGCTCTCGATGCCTGTGTTGCCCGTGAGCTGCTTCGGAGGCAGGAGGGAGGCCGGGGCCTCAGGCTCGAGACAGGTATGGCCGTTTATTTCTCCATCTGAGCACGTCGACCCTGCCAGACCTCATTTGGTATTTACGTGTTTCGTTTTCTTAAAGAAGACTCCCAAATTGCATAAGACCAAGGCCCCAAAGCCCAGGTCCCTCCCTGGGCTCACAGGATGTGGGGGGCTCTGTGGGGAGCTGTCCACCCTCACGGCACGTGCAGGTCCTGACCCTCCCGTCTGCCTTCTAGCCCCTGGACTATGAGATCTCCGCCTTCCACACCCTGCTTATCAAAGTGGAGAACGAGGACCCGCTGGTGCCCGACGTCTCCTATGGCCCCAGCTCCACAGCCACCGTCCACATCACCGTCCGGGATGTCAACGAGGGTCCAGTCTTCTCCCCGGATCCCATGATGGTGACCAAGCGAGAGAACATCTCCGTGGGCAGCGTGCTGCTCACGGCCAACGCCACCGACCCCGACTCCCTGCAGCATCAGACCATCAGGTGGGTGTGCGCTCGGGCCTGCAGACGGGGGCCCCCTGGGCTTCTCCTCCCCGCCACGGGAGTTGGTAGCCAGGAGCAAAGTGCCACTAAATGAAGCCTGTGTGTGATCTGGCCAAGCAGGGACAGTAGCAATGAGGAGCCTGTGGCTGGTGGAACCAGGGGACCGGCTCTGTGTGAGCAGAGTCCCCGCCCCTGACTCCAGCACAGGAGGAGATGGCCTCAGGGCTGTGTCCCCACAGGACCATTCAGTTCTGCTGGCACCAGGGCCACTCCCCAAGGGAGAGAAAGGGGCCACGCAGGTGGCACTACAGAGGCCGGGCCTGCCTTGCCCTCACCCCACTTTGTGAGAACGGCCCCAGCTGCTGCGTTTACCAACAGGGCATGGTGAATCCAGACAGGCTCACGACTTGCTCAGGGCTGCCTGGCACAGTGGCCGAGGGGTGGGGCAGAATGGGGCCATCTGCCACGCCCACGGCCCCTTCTGCTGAACGCTGGTTGACTGGGAGCTGTCAGAGGAAGGCACAGAGAGGTTGCCTGCTACCTCCAAATGCAGCGCAGCCTTAGGGTCGGCCCCAGGGTTGGAGGTGGGGCAAGGAGGCAGAAATGCCCGTCTTCATTTCTTAGGCTCTGCCTGGTGCTTAGACAGCAGGTGTTTTGTAATGAGATTTAATTAAGTGGTCGTTACTACGGTGTTTTCAATGTCAGCAAATACAAGACGCCCTCACTGGGACATCTTTTCACAAATCAGCATTTGTGCGGGTCCAAATGTGCGCTTGCCCCTGCCAAAGTTACTGCCTTTCCCTCCCAGATCTGATCTTGGCCCCTTCTGTAAGCACAAATGATCAAACACAGACACACCCATGATAAACATGCCACTGGTTTCCCTGACTTGAATACCTGTGGCACAGTCGACCGGTCGGCCGCTTTCCTACCACCGAGCGAGCTGCAGGGAAGGACGAAGATGAGTGTCCCAGCCCTGAAGAGGATTTGTTTTTACAAGGAAACTTCCCGAATGCCAGCTGAACTGGATAATGGTGCAGAGTAATACCAAAGGCCAAATCCTATAATAACGTGAATCTGAAACAGACGTTTTTCCTCCTCTCCCCTCCCCACGGCCTGGTCTCTGGCAAAGGAAACGTGCAATTTAAACATCAAAGAGAAAGGTTTCCTAAGCACTTAGACCGGGAGCCAGCAGCCTAACGGACTACAAGGATGGGTGAAGGTAGGGCGCCTCCAGGGGGTTAACGGTGGTTTGTGTTTCTACAATAGGAGGCGAGCAGGCGATTGGGGGTGAAATGAGTGGAAATGGGGTTGGTGTGGCCAAGCCTCGGCTGTCACGCTGTCACCACTTGGAATACTGCCCAAAGTGGCAGGGTTCACGGGGAGGGGCGGGGTGGGGGGTCTGGTTCACAAGCCACAGGTCCCACTGAGGAGCAGGGAGTGGACAGGTGGGTCGGTCTGGGTTCCCTGATTGAGACGAGCTCTGGCTCACTTGGAAAAGGGCAAATTGGCCAGAAGATTCTAGGATAATGATGAGGAACCAGCTTGAGACAGCACAGGAACCAGAGCACCCCCGAGGCTTCAGGTGACAGGAGCTGACAGGCTGGCACTCAGGCTCCCACGGGGACAGCAAGCCAGCTCCCGACCCTCAGCCCACTGTCCACGTGCCAGGGCGAGACTGCAGAGCCAGGAGCCTCCGCGCAGGGCACCTGGACAGAGGGGCCACCCACCCAAGAGGGCTGGGAGGAGAGAAGGGAGCCCCGCCTGCCCAGGCCCAGGGATGGGCCCCGGGAGCTCTTCCTGGCAGGGTGAGAGCCACGACACTGAGGACATCCAGCCAGCACCCGAGCCATGGAGAACGACGTCCAGTCCCTGGAACTGGGAACACGGGTCCCCACCCTCCCCAGTAGAGTGTTGAGAGCACGTGGGAGGAGGAGTGACCTCACCTGTGACGTGTGGGGACGGAGGGAACATGGGATGTTCTGCAGAGAGCCACATTTCTATAGCAAGCCTGACCCCACAGCAGTGACCCTCAGTCACAGGCCACCAGGACCCAGCTCAGAGTGACTTATGCCAAAGGATGCACCGCGTGGTCCACATGACCGAAAAGTCCTCAGGGACCAGGGGATCAGTGTGATGGGGTTTGGGGGCTCAGGCCAGGTTCCTCCTTCCCTGGCTCCTCTCTCCACCCTCAGCTGTCTGTCCCTCACATGTCAGTGGAGGGGAGGCCACTGCAGGACCCATCCTCTGTCTGTCTGCAGAAAGAGACATCTCCCTCCCCACAGAGTCCAGCAAAGGCCCAGGGGTGGGGCCCATCGAGACAGCTTGGACAGAACCCTGAATGGCAGGACAGACTGCACGGATGGGCAGGTCCTAGAGCATGGTCCACGGCAGACCCCAGCATTTGCAGTGAGGGCCTGAGCCATGGCCACCCAGAGAGGGCAGGAGGTCTTCCCAGAAGACGGGAATGGATGCTGAGCCATCAGGAAGCAATGGTGGTCTCTGCAGCTGAGCACCTGCTACAAACACAGCCGCGGTGGGGCGGGTGCACCAAGAGCCTTATGCTTGCCATAGGCTGAGGGACGTGCGCCGATCCCCTTACAGGGAGAACCTGGGTGTCCTCTGTGTGCGGTGTGTGAGAGACACGGGTCTCTCCTGGCCCAACTCCTCAGAGTCATAGCTCCTCAGTCCACTCTGGATGGACCTCCCCTCCCCTCCCCTCCCTCCCCCCACTCCCCCGCTCCAGGTGCCGGTTCTGAGCTCCCAGGAAGGCAGGCATAACATCACAGACAGGTGGAGCTGTTGTCCTTGGAACTCTGGAAAGAAAAGGCTCATTCATGAGGTGCAGCTTTTGATCCTGCACACTGAGAAGTGCTGTCCCCGGGGGCTGTGTGTGCAGAGGGTGAGCAGGGGTGCGGGAGGGGCCAGGCTGAGAGACGGTTTCTAATAACCCTCACTTGGCTCCCCAGACTTCCCAGGCAGACGGCTGTCCTTGTGAGTTGTGTTGCGGCTGTAAGGACTCTTCGGGGAGCAGACCCTGAAGAGGGGGGAACTTCTCTCTGGGAACTCTCAAGGAGAGCTCTGAACTTAGCTGACTGAGGCTCAGAAAAGACGCTGGGCCATCCGTGTGCCTGCCGTGCTGAGATCATGAGCGTCACTGTGGGTCCCCGTCTCCGGGCCACTGTGCAGAGCCCTCTCCTGGGTGTCCTTTGCTCTGTCCATCACTCTCCTGTTCCCTTCCTGCCCTCTGCCCTCCTCCCTCTGCCCTGCTTCCTCCCCCTGCTTATCCTGGGTGTCCCCCCTTCCCCGTTCATCCCTCTGTGTCTCTGGCTCTCTCTCTGTCCCTTCCCCTCTTTTCCTTCTCTTCCTCTTCTACCAAGCAGGGGTCGGGCATCTTCGGGTGATGTCCTCGCATCTAGCCGTTCCCTCCCCTCCTCCTCCCTCCCTTTCTCTTTTGCTCCATCTCCCTCCCACCACAGCCATCATATCGCTCTCTAGGCTCCAAGATTCTCTGGGGCTCAGCCCCGTCGCCCCCAGGCTCTCCCGACTCAAACACACCATGGGAGATGCTCCACTGACCAGTGTCCTTGGAGCCCAGCTGGGGCCCTGCTTGTCCCTGTTGGTCCCTTGGTCTCCTCCCTGGGGGACTCTGTCTGCTGACAAAATGGGAAACCTTCTCCCACCTCCCAAAGACAGGAACTTCTAGCAAACCCCCGTTCATGGCCCGGGGCCCATCTTGTGTGACAAAGCACAGAACCCAGGCCACCACCCCCTGCTGCCCACTGCCCACACACACTCTCTGACTCACCAGGGAGCATGATAGCCCAGAAGGTGCCTTGATCTGCAAGGAGCCGTGACCCCAGCCGGGGAGCGTCCTGGCAGCGGAGCACACATTCTTGAAGAAAGGCCTGGGCCACTGAGACCTGTCCAAAAGCCCGTCACCTGTGCCCTCCGCCCAGTGAAGCAGGCCCAACAGATTGGGCACAGGTGGATGCCCCCGATAACGATGATGACTGGCATCCCCTTACCCTTCCCAAGACGGATCCTAGAGGAAACTTTTGAAAAGGCAGTTGATAATAAAATACCCGTGGCATCCACCCAAGGAAATCCCCTTTCCCCCCCGGGGCTGGGCCGTAAGACTCGCTCTTATGAACTCTGCCCTCCGTGGGCCTCCTCCGCCCTCTCACTTCCCTGGGTGGGCCAACAGCCGCCCATGTCAAGAAATAGCCTTTGTTTTCCATCCTGAGCACCCACTATCCTGCTACTCACAGCTACTCATCTCTTTACCCACTCCCTTGCTGAATATTTACATTGTTTCCAATTGTTTGCAACAGTTTTAAAGACAGTAGACATGCCTGTAGCTACACTGTTTAATGCTTCACTGATTTCCAAAAGATAAGCCCCTGAAAATCTTTGTCTACTGGGCTAAAGCACTGATACTGTTATTGCCTTTTGAGTGTCCAGAATCCTTTGGATTTGACACCTAGGCAATCAAATCTACATTTTCCCTTATGATTTCTGCATAGATGTCATGTTCATGGTTAGAAAGTCCTCCTCTGCTCCAAGGCCACCTAAATATCGATGGGTCTAAAATAGAGCTGGCAGCCACGCCCTGAGCTGCCTTGCACAATGATGGGTGGTGGTCAGACATGCTCCACCTCTCAGGCTGGGACGGTCCTCCAGGGACGCAAGGCAGGAGGGGGCACCCCCAAGGACACTTCAGTATCTCAGATGAGGAGTGGACCTGTGCGAGTTAGAGAGGGCAGCGTGGCGGGAGCTATGCCAAGACAGAAGGGACGGTGTCTGCTCCACATCAGACCAGGGTGCAGTGGCTAAATGGGGCGGGAGGGAACTTGAGAAGCCCCAAGTTGCTGGCCCTTCCCCCACCTGTTGGTTTGGTCACACTGGGGACTCCGGCAGCTAAAACCTTCTGAACAGCCTCAGAGGACTCGTTTCATTCTCCCAGTAATCAGGGATTCTGTGGGAGCAACCAAGTAGCA